CACGCACACGCACACGCACACGCACACGCACACGCACACGCACACGCACACGCACACGCACGCCATCACGCACACTTATTTGAGCATGATCAGAAATGTTTAATACCTTTTCAAAGAATGTAGCTGCTTGTATAATTAGAATGTTTAGCATTAATTCATAAGTCATTGTCGCCATCCCTATCCCGACCAGCATCGCTTTGCTATTCGTTGCGTAGGAGGCAACAAATGCACCCACGTAGGTTGCTCCCATAATCATAACAACATAGTAGGCCAGAAGGACGCATATCAGGTGTGAGAAGACTGTCTCGACACTCCGGACAACACTGGTCATTCTTGTGTACTGCAGACGAAGTTCCTCCATTGACCACAGACTGACCGCGTCTATCGTAGACGCGTTGTCTTGGTGATTGTACACAATGATGTCATCTAGTTGATTAGCATCGTCTGCCGGACCTTTATACACAATCTCATCAATCTTCCCTGTCAAAAAATCAAAGTCTTTTCCAATTAGAAAACAACAAGAACCGAACAGAACAGGCGTGGCGGCCATGTAGACTACAGTAAAACTGTAAATTACCCAGACACATAGATGCATCGCTTTAGCGCTTGTTGTCGTGGGCCAGTTTTTATCAGTGAGATATTGAATCGGATGTAAGGATATTGCCGGAACAGCTATGCCGCTCGAGTTCATGATTGATATCTGCATGATCACGCAAACTATCACGAACGCCAAGCAAGATGCTGACACTGCGGCGATTGCTGCAGGAATGCTCTTACAGATCGCCTTTAGTGTCTTGCGATTGCGCATCACCTTCGTGCACTTCCACCAGTTTTCCACGTGCGTTTCCATCTTCGAAGACGTGCACAGAAATAGCGTGACGGTAATGGCCGGCAGCACGCATAGAAATGCCACGAGCAGGTCGATTATTAAATACTTCGCAGGTTGAACGTTCGCGTACTCGATCAGGAAATGTAGATTCCGCACGACATTCGCCCACCACGCTACACACAAAAACATGGAAATAAGAAAGGAGACGCTGTTCCTCTTGCAAACTAACTTCGCCGGGTGACCGTGATGGCCTGCCAGCTGAAGTGGCCACAGTCCTAGTATTTTTGCTGAAAGTAAGATCGGCCGAAGGCCTTGCAGAAACTCGTGGTACGTAACATCATCTGTGGCGCCATCTTCAATTCGTGCTGCTGTTTCCGCATTCACTTCACGAAGTTCCATTTTATTTCGCACTGATATAACACACGGTCACAACGTCACATTCACACCTTACGATGGCGTACAATGTACTGCACGCCCTCAGATTATCACGAAACACGAAGTATGCTATCTTCTACCCTATAAACCAAATGTTGCCCTAAGCAGGTTACACTTATTCTCAAACGCGGACGATACAAAACGTGAAATAACAACAGTGCAGGTACACCTAGTGCGCCCGATGAATGATATACTGTGGATGCATATTCGTTTGGGCAGGCGAACAATTTCTCCTGATATGGGGAGGGGGAGAAAGTGCATTACAGCGCACACGTTTCTATATTTACACACAGCCCAATGTCAACCTATTACTGTTATTGCTTGCATTTCACACGCTCTCCCTGACCGCAATGTAGAACTGCGTGATTGTTCTCGTAAATACCAATTATGCGGGAGAGATCCATAAACGAATAATGGATAACTTCTGACATATTTCTACGGTAGGCGCATATTTCATAACTAGTGTAATTATGCTCTATGCGCTTGTTGACACTACTGCCTAATGGCAGCTAGCTCTGCAAATGTCAGAAAATAGTCAGCAGACTGCAACAGTGAGTTGGGGGCATCCACAAAGATGCAGGAACGTGGGGCATCCACAAAGATGCAAGAACGCGATAGAATACTGCATGATAAGAACTTCTATGAGTGCATTAGACGTTGCTTACCTTGCTTCAGTAAAATACAAAATTCAGCCGAAATCTGTAATGGCTTCTTCATTTTACACATTTTCCAGTAAATAAGGTAGTAAACATGCACGCAATTAATTAACATAAAATCTGTTAGGCAGTTTGTTAAAAAAAAACACAGTGCACAATAATTTATCAATGTATTTATACACTGATATATGTTTTTATTTCTCGTATTAGGAAGTACGATACAATTATGAGTATTATCTTACCACAAACGGCAAACGGAAACAACGACAAACAAATGGTTCGCATTTTTTGAACAGCAGATACAATGAAAATTAAATTTCAATTTGTCGATGTCAACCAATGCCCCCTGCTGACAATCCTTTGCAGTTCAATCGTGCACGTAGGAGAACGCCACAGGCCGGGACGAGTGCAATTTGAGACGACAGCAAATTGCCACAGGTACTGACCTACATATTCTCTGCAAAAATCATCCTGAAGATGACGTACGTGTGTAGACGGAAATAAGGCGCCACAGTCGTACACGCATCACTCGAGTGAGGAGTGGTTCATGTGGGCTTCTCGACCAGATAATTGACACGTGTAACACGTGAAAGAA